TGTGAATGAGCAGAATTGACAATAAATTAATAAAAGAGGCTTTTGTCGGGACAAGGAGTTTGCTTCATGCTCTTGGGAAGCCTCAGTCAGAACACAGCTCAACTTGCATGAGCGGTAGGCTGATGGGCATTCATGCACATGTGCGCCAACCCACTGCTCATGTAAGTTGAGCTGTGTTCTGACTGAGGCTTCCCAAGAGCATGAAGCAAACTCCTTGTCCCGACAAAAGCCTCTTTTATTAATTTATTGTCAATTCTGCTCATTCACATCCAACAAAGTCTTTCAAGGGAGGATTTACAACCCCAGACCTTATCTGGCTTGACAGGCCGATATCTGCAAAACCTGGCAAGAAGTCTCGGAGAGTCACGAACCAATTAAGCGAACTAATTGTCTCCTGCAAACTCCACTCCCCCTTCGTTCCTCTTTTATTTCCTCTGGGATGGGCCATTTATCATCCACCTCTGACCTTTCTCCCAAGTCGATCCCTGTTCTTTAATTGTTCCTTTCATCTGGCAACTCTGTGCATGTGCACACTAGGAACAGGCTTCAGCTGTTCGTCTGCCTCACTGATGTCTGACTCTGAAGGCAGCTGATAACTGGCATACGGTTCTGACCCCCTCTCTGCCTCAGAGCCCTCATCAGAGTCTTCCCCAGACTCCAGGACTGGCCCATGTTCCTCTCCAACCTCCTCACTGTACGAATTTGCTGCCAGCTCTGCTGGCCACTGATGGACCATAACAAGCTGCACGTTGGCCCACCATTCGCATAAGGGCTGTATGTGCGCACAAGCATATGCCGGCCCACCACTCTTGCAACTAGTTTCCCTCTCCACCACCCCCAGCCAGGCCACTAAGCCACAAAGATTGGGGACCTTTGTCTTAGATCATCTTCAATATTGCAGGCTAGTCATCCCTAACTATTCACACAACACATTTTATCCTCTGTCATTTTTATGGTTGGAACCCTAGCTTTTCCATTTCTGCCAGGATTAAACTTCCATATAATCAATGCATTATTCTTTTTACCTATTAGAAATACTGTTCTGTGAGCTGAGGTTTGCCTCCATTCCTTATTTTGGAATATGCAGCTGTAATTTCCAGGAGCAGTTGGTTTGATTCTCAAGACACTGGTTATGTTGAAAAGTCCTGTGTCTGTCAGCTTATGTGTGGTGTTTGCAAATATCGTGTCATTGATTCTGTTTTCATAAAACCAAAGAACGTCAGCCAGAGGGTACCCTTCTGCCTGGCAAGTTAAAATGTGGTCTTCTTCTTCTTTTCTTTCCTGGATGTTTATCCTCTTGTAAGGCGCTACATAAAAAGAAATAAAGCTTTTAAGAAGTTTTTATTTTCCTTACAGGTGATTGACAAGAACATTATACAAGGAAATATATTTTGTGTTGCTTTTGTTAAATGTGCTTTTTCATTAACTGTGCAAGTCTTTAAAAAATGTCTGGGGAGAAAACTACAATGGTATTATTAGCAGTTTTCCTCCCAATAGCAAAGACTTAGAACTGTGATGGTGAACCTTTGGCACACGTGCCGGAAGTGGCATGCAGAGCCATCTCTCCAAGCACGCAAGCTGTCGCCCGTTGCTCTTCCGGGTTTTGGTGCACTGGCGAGCTGATTTTTACCTGCACGGGAGTGCTGGAAACTGGAAGAGCAGCCACCAGTGCACATGCGCTTGCTGGGAAGATGATCTTCCAATTTCCAGCACGCGCATGTGCACTGGCCATCTGGTCTTCCAGTTTCTGGTGCTCATGTGCATGCAAAGACCAGCTGGTGCACTGGAAACCAGAATATTATCTTCCTGGTGCAAACATGCACACCAGGCGGCTACTCTTCTGGTTTCCAGCATGCCTGTGCCCTCCCATTTTGGCACTTGGTGCCGAAAAGGTTTGCCAATACTGGCTTAGAAGGAGCCATTTTTATCATGGCCACACAAAAGAAGAAAGATTTTAAATCTCTCTTGCTGCCAGCTTCATTTTGATAGTTATGAATTCACACACAAGTTCCCAGCTGCATTTAAAAAACTCTGCATGTTAAAAGTAAAGCATTCATTAATGTTTCACCCTTCTGATATAAAGGAAACAAATGCCAAGTGCTATCATTATAAAATATATGTCTTTTTCAAGATTGGGGGTGGGGAGAGCTAATTTCAGAACTTCCCTTCCAGGGAAATTTCTGTGAAGCCATAAAAATAGGAGGCAGGAAGTAGAAGTTCATTTCTTCTTTGGATATTCATAGGGATAATTCAGAAGATATGAAGAAGGTTGATCTGTTTATTTGTTATGAAACAAATGATGGCAATAATGAGACATATCACTCTGTGATTGCAAGAATGTGAGCAGGGGTGGGTTGCTGCCGGCATTACTGCCAGTTTGGTGTGCGCAAATTTTTTTGGGGGTGTGGTAGGCCTGGGTTGCTGCCAGTTCCAGTGACCCAGGCTGCCAAGCCATTACCGGTTCGGCCCAACCAGGCCGAACTGGTAGGAACCCACCATTGGATGTGAGGAAGGTGGAGATGGCCCTGGTCCTACCACTCCCTTCTGCATCACTTTGTTGGAACATAACCAGATTGTCTTCCTTGGGTAGCTTTCTTCCAAGGCTGGTTGTGTAGGCTCTCCACCTGATCTTCTAAAATAAAGGACAGCTATTGTAAGTATAAAATATCCCCTCCCTTGAGATCTTGCCTCTGTAGTATGAAGTTAACAGAGAAAGAGCAAAGAGGGCCCTTAATGTACTTTTACACAATTCTATCTGCATAATGGATTAATATATCTTTAAAAATCAGAAGAAGTCAGGATAGCAATTTGCAGGCTAACAATTTTTATCAAGGCATACTTCTTCAGATTTTTGGCTATCATAGACTAATGCATCTTTTCTCCCACAGGTAGTCTTCAGTGCTGAATATATAAAAGGATATTCTAAAATAATGGAATGTCATTCAGATTTTTGCCTGTGACATTCCATGGCTAAAAGTAAAGGTTCCCCTCACACATATGTGCTAATCATTCCTGACTTTAGGGGCCAGTGCTCATCTCCGTTTCAAAGCCAAAGAGTCAGCGCATGTGGCTGGCATGACTAAAAGCCAAAAGCACATGGAATACTGTTACCTTCCCACCAAAGGTGGTTCCTATTTTTCTACTTACATTTTTATGTGCTTTCAAACTGCTAGGTAGAAGCTGGGACAAGTAACGAGATATCACTCCATTTACGTGGCGCTTGGGATTTGAACCGCCGAACTGCCAACCTTTCTGATCAACAAGCTCAGCGTCTTAGCCACTGAGCCACCACGTCTCTTTATTCTATAGCTACTAACCTTCAATTTCCAAGTCAATGTACTTGTGATCAGCTTCACGATAGTTGACAACGCAATGGTAACATCCAGCATCTGTGATCCTTAGATGGGTGATATGTAGCATAGAATAGCCCCTTTTCAATTCCTCATATAATAATGTGACTCTTCCTTGAAAATGTTGGTGTTGCCCTGACAGGTCTTCATGTCCATTTATGAGCTTGTAAACTTCCTTGACTTCGTCTGACAGTTTTTGCTGCCAGAAGATATTCAATTGTGCCATATTCAAGGAATTTTCAGTTGGAAAGCGACATCCCATGGTCACGTTGCTTCCATATTCTGCAGAGTAATGAGGCTGAATAACACTCACCCTGAATAAAGCTGGAAAAAAAATAAAAGAAGCAAACATACTTGAGTATTCACAGGGCAATTAACATTTTTATGCAGGAGTATGTGTGCTGTGACTCAGTTAACGAAGAACCTGCAGATACATCTCTGTTGTGGCCCAGCAGGATCCGGTTGAGCTGCTGATGGACTCGGATAGCGAGGAACCATATGAGTCTGCCCTGGACGATGTGGAGGACCCTGGGCAGGGTTCAGACTCAGATCAGGGACCGGAGAGGCTGGTTGGCCACTAGGAGGTGCTTGAGGCATGGAGCAGTGGGGAGGATCAAAGGCAGTTTGTCTCTGATGCTAGATTGAGAAGGGCTGAGAAACGGAAGCAGCAACTCCGTAGGCAGACTCACAGAAGATGATTAAGCACAGGTGGCTGTTGATTGGCCCCTCCCAAGAGAGATTATAGGTGAGGTGTTGGGAGGGGACATTTACAGGAAATAACCATTCGAATTAGTAGTTAAGGAAATCTATCTGTGTATTCTAGCCGTGTCTGTTCATTTGAACTATCTGGATTGCTGCAGAACTACTCCATTGAACGTAAGTTGCCTGGGCCCTCAGCCAAAGGATTTGTTGTCTCAGTAATTGAACAGTGGCAAACAGCCAAGCCTGTGTTCTGGTTTATTCACAGGCCGGGGGGGTCAGAACACATCTCTAATCATGTGGGGTCCTTGGTGCTCTCTGATCTTGGTTGTTTTCTTGCAGATATTTCATTATCAAACTTGGTAACATCATCAGTGCTGTAGCACCAAAGACCCCACAGTTTAACCCTGAGCTACAAATATTCTCTTCTATTGATATTATGCAAATACCAAAATATGCTGAAGATCTAAATATGTGCATTTCCAGAGTATAAATGAAACACAACCACCAAGGTTTATATTAACTGAAGTGTGAGGTCTTTACTGCTCGCTGAGCTTGAATTTTTTCTTGTAGTTGTTTCATTATCAAATTAGGTAACAATCATCCAGTGCTAGAAGGGAATCGGTTTGCTCTCTTTTTACATACTTTATATAATCAAAAGAAATACTTTATACAATTGATCTCTAATCAATTAAATGCCTTTGGTTTATACAGATAGTCCAATGGAGCCTAAAATTTATGTTGTTAAGTGAGACATTTCTTAAGAGAGTTTTGCCCCATTTTACGACCTTTCTTGTCACAATTGTTAAGTGAATCACTGAAGTTGATAAGTCAGTAACTCGGTTGTTAAGTGAGTCTGGCTTCTCCACTGACTTTGCTTGTCAGGAGATTGCAAAAGGGGATCATATGACGGTCACAGCAACAGTCATAAATATGAACCAGTTGCCAAAGCAATCTGAATTTGGATCACATGATTATGTGGATGCTGCAAAGGTCGTAACTGTGAAAAACAGTCATGAATCTTTTTTTGCAGTGCTGTTGTAACTTTGAATGTTCACTAAATGAACAGTTGTAAGTTGAGGACTACCTGTACTAGTGTGACATGTTTTTTTCTAAGGGATTGCACATTCATGTGCTCAGATTTCTTGCTGCTCCCATAATGTAGAAGCTGAGTTAATTGAAAGGGATTGATGGGGTCGTCTTAATCATTGCAGGCTGTCTACATGAGTAACTATGATCTCAGAAATAGTCATTTCCTTTGGTCCTCATTTTAATGTAGACTTATTCAGTAATATCATTTGCATTTCTAGTATGCAAATCAGGTTGTTTTTCCTGCTAGCTGTACTTTCACTGATAGCGTGAAAAAGAGTTATAACTCAATGAAAGCCGCCTCCAGATAATGTTAGGAAAAACGTCTACTAAACATAGAACTACTAGGAGAAAAAGATTTGAAAATGGGAAAATACTTCTAATTGAATTCCTTTTTTCTCTTTTTGACTTGAACTGATGCAAAATGGGAAGCAATCTGCTTAAATTTGAAAATGATTGGTAATGAATATATCTTTTCTTTTATGTACACTGAAAGCATGTGCACCCAAGACATTCCTTGTGTGTCCAATCACACTTGGCCAAATGTCTATCATCCATCCATCCATCTATCCACCCACCCACCCACCTCTATCTATTGCAGTTGGTACCATTTTCTTCTTCTCGTTATGATTACTAAAATATGTTTTGCTAATTTTAAGGGTCTGTGAATATCAAGAAGATGATTTTAAAAAACCCTATAATTCTAAAAATGGAAATCTTCAATAGAATAATTGGGATGTGGGGCAGCATTTTTGCTGGTACTTGGCATTCAGACTGTATAGGGAAGGTCTTAGGCATGTCACAAGGATGGTCTTCCCAGCTCATAAGCCTGCTATCATGGCTTTGTGGTGAATTACAAAATGAAAAGTCCAGGTGAGACATAGGAAGGGTTTTTGAAGGAGACACCTTTAGGCACACTGCTGGCCAAAGCATCAGGTTGGTGGTTCCAGATGATTTCCCCCAAGCCTGCTTAGATGTGGCTTCTTTCCCAGAATGTCTCTGGTTCCTGGCTGCTTACCCTGAGTTTGAATCAGCGGTGGGATTCAGCCAGTTCGCATCACTTCGGGAGAACCAGTTGTTAAGTTTCTGAGGAGTTTGGTGAACTTGTTGTTGGAAGAAATCATTAGGGTGGAGAACCAGTTGTTAAGTTATTTGAATCCCACCACTGGTTTGAATCCATAACCGGAACCAATCCTTTGCAGATTATTCCAGATATGTGGGGTCCTTGGGCCTCTTTGAGCTTTTATTGCATATGTTTCATTACCTAACTAGGTAAACAATACCTCAATCAAGTAATTAACAACTCAGACAAACAATCAAACAGTAAACAACAGCAATAATCAAGGGATTACCAAGACTGCTCCCACCAACACGGATGGGTCAAGCCACTTGTATACAAACAGACAGTGAATCCCACTCCCTTCTAGCACTGATTATATTACCTAGTTCAGGGGTCCCCAACCCTTGATTCATGAATCA